ATTAGGAATCGATAAATTTTCTGTTTTTTTCTATGGTATAGATGCCTATACCTGAACAAATTGGAGGCATTTAAATGTAAGTATATCTAGTAGTGAATCTTGAAAATCACCTGGTAGGATAAAATAATGAATTAGGAAGTAATCTAAAAACTGAAAAAATAAAAAGAAATACTACTGAAAATAAAATTAATTTAGTATATATATATATATATATATATATATATATATATATATATATATATTTATATATTTATATATATATATATATATATATATATATATATATATATATATATATATATAGATATATAAAGGGTATCTGCGGTGCGTGGAAATAACAATAATTGTTACATTTAATTGGACAAGAAAAGATTGAGAGTAAACGCAGAGTAGGGAGAAACATAGTTCTGTTGACAAACCTGAGAGTGCTTCTTTGACACTTTTATCCAACTGTTTGAGCAGAATCAGCGAGTTAAAATTGCCATGATGGTAGCTAATATTCTCAGTAAGTCCTAACAGTTTCGCCAAATATTTGATATTAGTAAAAGAAAGCAATGAGTTATGTCTTTAAACAATTATTTCTGTGTCGTCATTTAATTAAGAGATTGGCATAATTAAAGTTTAAGTCCCCCCTTGACTACGGTACTGTTTAACTGTTGAAACAAAAAAAAACAGTGAAATAGATGCAGCATTAATATTCCCAGACGGCTTAATTTCAATGATTAAGAACACATTTTCAGACAAGTATGTTAATAAAATAAATGTATCCCATTCGTATATGCATTTCGACATTAATTATAAAGCCTGACATTGTCAGTTTCACAGTTTGTGCACACACGTAAAAAATGTAAAATAATTGTTAATAGGTTAACACACAATGCGCGGAGAACAGTATTACGTGATGGTTGTTTACATACGATAAAAATAGATATGATGCAACAAATAATGTACCCAATACGTATTGACCTCTTGTTCAAAAACGGCAATTCTTCTAGTTACTGTATGGTCTTTAAACGATTTTTTCAATAAGGTGATGCCAACGTATCGTCAGCAATCTGTAATTTACATGAACATTTGGAAAAGGTAAAAGTTTTGTTTTGTAACAATGAAGGTGTCTAGATTTAAACAATAAATAGTAACACAGGGTCACTTTCTTATCTCTTACTTGGTATGCGTAAACATTTCCAAATAAGTAACTTCAAAATAGCCTCGATAACAGTTACTGACAATAACAATTACATATAGGTGTGAAATAAAATTATCAGTGTGTAAGGTGACCTCTTACAAAACAAATGTCTTTAATTTGAGAGTGAAATAATTCATTCTAAAGGGCAAGAACCAGAAGATAAAATTTTATCTTGTTGGTACCTACATATGTCTAGTATCTAAAAGCAGATGGTACGATGTAGGCCAGACAAATACGTTCTTTGTGGACCAAGACCACCTTTGAATTAACAATAAGATATATCAGACTAATTTCCTCCTGGAGGTAAACAATTCATGTTTTACTTACTAATTTAATCATTGTTAGTGGTATGAAAAATGAGTGGTATATAATATCAATTAAAACCCGACAGCATTTTGTTTTAAACATAACCTTCTTGCATAAAAGAAAAAAATCGAATCACAAATTAACTAAGGAACACAATCATTTAATATATTGGAAACCAACTGAGTTGATTAAATGTCACGACGTTTATCATTAACGTGGAAAGAACCGTCAATTAATCGGGAAAACTCAAGTTGCCGCCCCGTTTCTCCATAACCATAGACAACACTAGAAATAAGAGCAGTCGGAACACTCTTCGGGCCACCCGGACACATCGATCGACCTCGGGGCCGGGGGCGTGAGGACATCCTGGTGCACGCACACCTACCACGGCAATTCCGAGCTTGCGCCCCGGGATGGCAAATACCGGTATTTTTTGTTAACCGATACCTAGGTATGCTATTTATATCCTTATTCTTAAAAAAAGATATTTTAAAAAATAGTTTTACGAATGTAAAATTCCAGTAGGTATAATCAAATATCGTCACTTTTTTCTTCTTAATGCGGTTTACAATCGTATCATATTTAGGGCCCTTCCATCACGTCTTTCTCGACTTTACTCTTCTAGTACATACCAAAACTCAGCAAATATTTCTATTGGATAACTTAGATTACCTTAATGGATAGAGTTAAATTACCGAAGATGAAATAAGGAGTAGATTAAATGCCTTTGTCTTTTAATTTTCAATTATTTTGGAGATATATAATACATGGGAGGGTGAGGCCATTAATAAACTAGACTCCTAACTTGTATATCTGATAGGTAAGGACTGGACATCACCTTGTATTATCTACCAACTCGAGTAGATGTAGGTGCAATTTAAGTCTACAATAGTCAGTGAGTATGCCGACCATCAGGGATCAACGCCTACGATTACCAGGAGGAGTTGGGCTCTCAAACTCCAGAAAGGTCTGTGGTCTGTCTCATACGCTCACTACCGATCTAGTAGTCCAGTAACCACCGAGAGCTGGAATACTTCGGTTACATTATGAGACACCGTAAAAAATATGATCTTTTACATCTGATCATTTAGGGAAAGATCCAAGGTAATCGTGGTCCTGGTAGAAGAAGAACATCATGGCTGAAAAATCTAAGGCAATGGTATGGAAAATCAACTACATCGTTATGTAGAGCTGCTGTCAATAAAGATACAGCGAATATGATAGCCAACATGATATCCAACGATCGATAACGGTCATGGAACTAGATGAAGAAGAAGTAACCTTTGACCTTCTTATTGCAATAAGAGGTAGACCTCTTTTGTCCAAAATCCAGAGACAACACTGGGTTGTTTCCAGGATCCTTAACATTGCCTCTCTTCCTGAGCAGATATATGATTCTGCCAAAGAAGTCCTTATCCACTATCGCTTGAAGACGCACTAAGATCTGTCTAGAAGGCCGATGCATAGGAACCAAGGACTTACCTCAAACCCAGTACTACACCCACATATTTTCCAAATAGTTTTACATAATGTTAAAAACTTTTTGTATCTACAAAATGTGACTAATATTAGGTGCCAAGAATAACTTAGTTTCAGATGAATAGGAATCTGAATAAGCATAAATGATTCTAATATCTTACTTATTAGTCCAGTCGGCAGACAAGACAAGATTAGAAAAGTGTAGCTTTCTTAAAAAAAATTTGTATTTTGCAGCAAATGAAATCAGTTTTTATAAATCTACTAAATAAAAAAACGCCCAATTTTTACCATTTCTTAAGATTCCCATGAGATCAATTAAATTTATCACTTCCATTGACCGCTATGAAATTTCCATTGCTGGAGTCTAATATTCAAAACCAATAACATGAAATTTCGATTTTAAGTTGTGGCAACAAATATGCCTAAAAAACGATGAATTCACATCACAAAACGATCGCATGTCACGGAAAATGCTTCCACGAAGACGGTATTAGCTAGGTGGAATTTGTAGCTTAAATTATGTCATTTCCAAAAACGTACTTGTGTAATCAAAAAGAAGTTTTAAATATTTTAGATCGTTCTTAAAGTGAAAGTTTAAATTTAGCGTTTTTCGGGCATATTTAAAATGCCTCACATTTGTTGCCAAAACTCAAAACCGAAATTTCAGGCTATGTGTTTTGAAGAGTAGGCCTTAACAATTAAAATTCAATAGCGACCGGTCAATAGAAGTGATACACTTTATTGATCTCATGAGCATCGTAGAAGATTTATTAGAAACGTAATTTAACACCTATATAGAAACTGACTTTGCAGCAAAATGCAAAATTACCTACGAAAGCTAAACTCTTCACCTTTAAAATACATCTTGATTTTTGTGGATATGACACTCTGATCAAAAGATATCGAATTTTTACCGTCGAGTTTATACAAATTTTATCTAAAATTGAATTCGCGCGCGTACCTGACGATGAAAATCACCGGTCGCCTCAAGCGTTGTTTCTTAGAGACAGAAAAAATTCTTTTACAGAAAAAATGCTAATAAACATTTTTGTTCAAAATTATCAGATCTATGCATCGAGCAAAAAGACAAAAGAGGGCATGTAAAGGTAGTGGGGGCAAACATATTGTTAGACAGGAAGTGCGATCTTTAGAGGCCACATTAAACAAGGAAAGAGAGCCTCTCTCCTTGTTTGACATCCAATTTAGTTGGGTTATGTTATTGTTTGTCTCAAATGTCACATGAAATCTTATTTATATTGAAGTTTTTTAACAATTGTGTCGCATTTTAGACTCTTATCATTAATAATTAATTAAAACTTTCTCGTCTAAGACACATTCTGAAAAATATTATATAGCTACTGTTGATAAGTGTCGGAAAATTTAAAATTTGGCGCATTCGAATTTCCGGTGCTATGACGAAAAAAAGTGTTAGATTAATAAGACCACCCTCACACAAATGCTTTTAAAGCCAATTTCTAAAAGGATCAGGATATACAGGCCAATAAAAAAATTAATTTACTAGACCTAAAACAATGTTATTACCTCTTAACATAGCAAAAGAGTGAAATAACTGAATGAAGGAAAAATTGGATTCCATTATAATAAAAACACTAAAATAGTTCATAGTCTACATAATGTCAAGACCCAAAAAACTGCATCCTTCAAATTTAATGTACACTCTATTAAACTTTACATTAAATTTAATCAGTTACAAAATAACGGTAACACATAATTCCGACCATCTCGAATTACAATATTTCTTCACTTGAGAGCGTCTGGACGGTGTTACTCGGTGACGTCACCGGGTGCGAATCCATTTTCGATTAGGAAGTAAGGGTGTCTAGCTAGGAAATTTTTATTTTTTATTATATTTGGCATTTATGAATGGGTATACATTCAACATTATGAAAACATGTTAAAAATCAAACAAAAATAAAATTCTGTGATTTAATCCACAGGATATACAACAAAATTTGTTTAAAATCACATTTATTGAAAACCTAACTTTCAAATTGAAAGCTGTCAAAATACCATAAAAAAGTGTCAAGTATATTAATTTATACTTTATATTGTAATAAAGATGTAAGTATGTTTCAGGTGTATTGGTATATGTAATAATCTCTGCTCTGAGTATTTATACCAATTATTATCAGTTTCATAAACCAATTGTGACGACAAAACTTTATATAAATTTATATATTTTCAGTTGACTTGAGGACTTAGAGGAAGGCAGACTCGCTAGTGAGCAGTTTAAAAGTTTCATGGTTTGCATTAGACGCCAATCTAAGAAAAATTTCAGGTGCATCAATATACCGTCCAAAATTGATTTGCGGCTTTGAATTGGAATTCCTGAGTAAAAAGGTGAGAGAAATTAAGTTGAGAGAAATGGTATTATGAGTCATTAACGTTCATGAAATGATTTCTAGCGGAAAGCCTAATTAGTACAAGATCCCACTGCGGGATGACTACGTTTATAACGTAGTTAATCAAATTTATATTTTTAAATATATATTTAAAATTAGGAGAATACATTGATAATCAGTTGTCAGTCAAACAGTATCCGCAAATATTTTTAATCTAATTAATTTTTTAAATAAAATACGCTGCTCATGGCGTATATGCACGTTTTGTATATCAAATTACAGCTAATTTTTTTTTTAATATTTTTTTTGTGTTTGTGTTTTGGCTTGGACAATTGTCATTCAGCCAGTCTCAATCAAGATAGTTTATTAATGTAGTGTGTGTGTGTGTTTGTGTGTGTGTAGAGTAATTGTCTCGATACTTAGCAAAGTCGACGTCATTGTCTTTGCTAAGAGACGCTAATTGTATCCGAACGTCTGCGGTCCCTCCGGTAAGTACCACACCGAGAGAGAATAGAACACAAGAATAGAAATTATTTTCATTTATTAATTTTTTTAATAAACGGAAATTTCCACCCAGGTGAGATTAGAACTCACGACCTTTAGGTTTAAAGGCAGGCGCTCTTACCACTGAGCCACAGAGGGGGTTAATTTTTTTTTAATATGATAATGTTGCCCGAGAAGAAATGGTCGCATATTGGGGATGCCAGTTGGTAAAAACGCGAGGTATCAAAGATAAAGAAAAATATAGTTAGCTCGCAATGACACTGGTTTAACAAGTTATAATTATGTTGTAATTAGTTTCGCGGTAAGAATACTGAATGCGTTCAGGATTACTTCGCTTGCGCAGTGTTAAAAAGAGGGGTTAACGGTGATCAAGATCTGTACTGATAGGGATTGCTATTGCTAGTTCAAAATCTAGTCGTTCGCGGTTAGTTAGTTCGTAGTTCAGAACCAGTTCAACCGATCCTTGGGTTCCGAAGAGAATTTAGAGTTCGTACATGCGCAAATGGAATTCCATTTTTATATATTCCATGCTCTCTGCTTTAAACAGCTGATTTATTAGCGTTGGCACCTATAACTGTTTACTTTGAGTTTTTTGTTTGTGTAACGCCGGCTCCACACATACGGGCCAACGTTCGTCCAATGTGGCGCCAATGTTTTTATGACTTGCTACAACGTTGGGAGTTTTCCGTGGAGTGTCGGTTTTTGCGTACACATCAAAGGGATTAGCGCTAATATTGGTGTTGCCGTTGATGCTTCAGCCCAATGTGTGGATGCCTCACCGAACGTGGGAACACAGTTGACCCAACGTTGGCGCCAAGGTTGGATCCTATGTGTGTAGCCGGCCTTTTAAGTGTGTAAAAAATAGGTTTATTTAATTTATTTTTGTATTATTTTTTACATCATTTAATTTTGTGGATAAGTTGTGAATTATCTGTTAATTGTCTACTTTTTAACAATTTGTTTAATCAACTTTGTTTCTTCTTCTTCAAGTGCCGTCTCCATCAATGGAGGTTAGCGGTTATGGTGGCAAACGTTTGTCTATCTTCAGCTGCTCTTAAGAGTTCCTCAAATCCAAGTCCTGTCCAGTTTCTGATATTACGTAACCAGGACAATTTTTTTCTTCCAATTCCTCGCTTTCCTTCTATTTTGCCTTTTATTATCAACTGAGGGATGTAGTATTTCTCGTTGCGCAACAAATGCCCTAAATAACTGGTTTTTCTTCTTTTGACTGTTCTCAATAGTTCTTTTTCTAAATTGAGTCTAGCTAGTACTTCTTCATTTGTTTTCCGTGCTGTCCAAGGAATTTTTAAAATTCTACGGTACACCCACATTTCAAATGCCTCGATTCTATTCAGGCTCTTTATTTTTAAAGTCCACGTTTCGACTCCGTAGAGAAGAACAGACCAGATAAAACATTTTACAAGTTTTAATCTCAATTTAATATTTATATGTGTATCGCAGAATAGAACGCGCATCTTAAAGAAACTATCCCTAGCTTGAGCAATTCTCGCTTTAATTTCATGTTCTGGGTCCAGCTTGCAATTAATCCAACAGCCAAGGTATTTGTATTGGTTTACCTGTTCTAAAATATTCCCATTTATTTTTAAAGGTAAGGGGATATTCTGTTTTCTTTGGATCACCATTACTTTTGTTTTTTTTTTTCGTTGATCTTCATTGCAAACTCTCGACAAGCATTCTTAAGGTGGTCTATAACCCTCTGTAAGTTTGTGTCTGTATCAGCCAGTAGGACAGTGTCATCTGCATATCTTATGCTAGATATTGGTTCTCCATTAATTTTTATTCCTGTGGAAAGGTTTTCCAAGGCTTGCTTGAATAGTAGTTCCGAGTAAAGATTGAACAGCATAGGGGATAGTATGCATCCTTGCCTTACTCCTTTATTTATACTAATATTTCTAGCTGTATGATCGTCGATCCTAATCTTGGCACTCTGCCTCCAATACAAGTTCTTAATTAATCGGAGATCTTTACTATCCAAGTTGATGCTCTGTTTTTTTTTTCAACTTTGTTATTAACTTAAAATGGCAATAAAAAGTTACGCATGAATAAATCCGGCTGTAAAATAAAACAAACCAGGCATTGAAGACTGAATTGAAGTAAAGGTTGTTTAAAATTCCTTCGCGGTGTAAATCACTCCTGAACTGATTATGAACCGCGCTTGCCTAAAACCCGGTTTTAAAAGGATTCTGAACTGATCCTGAACGAGTTCTCGTACAGCAAACAAAACTATGTTACTAAAAGGATTCTGAACTGATCCTGAACGAGTTCTCGTACAGCAAACAAAACTATGTTACTAAAAGGATTCTGAACTGATCCTGAACTAAACTGTAAATTACTTCATTGTAAACACATCTGGTGTAGTTGTTTTTTCCTTTTTTTTTTTCGTTCATTTTAATTTAAAACAATTTATATTTAATTACTTATCTTTCTTACAGATTTTGATTAAAAAGTATTAATTGAATTAACAATTTTGTGAAGATGGAGTATAGAGAGTCGACATACGAAACATGTTCTGAAGGTAAGAATTTTGAATATGTTTACTCAATGGTTTGCAACTTTATCGTGCTATCTTGTTAGAACTACAACCATTATTTATTAATGATTTGCAGCGTTTGAAGCAAATCAGCAAGAAGAGGACATTGATGCATCGTTGTTTTGTCCGTATGTAATTCTAGATGAAGAAACTGACAGGATCTCCACAGATAACGGTGAGTAGTATAATGTGCATACTATATCTGTTAAAATAAACATACTTAACCCTGCATCACTCGCGCTATGAGTATTTCTCTCACACCTACCAGTAAAATGCAAATTTTATTAACGGTAAATCACGCATACTGCTACCCCCACTTCTAGCTGAGTTTCTAAGGGTCTTCGTTGTTACGCTTGAGCGCATGCAATATTTAGTGCATGTTGGTAATAGATATCGGGCACTTGTCGATCGTGTGCAGATCTCTGTGATAATTTCTCTCATCGCGCAAGTTCTAACGTAGTATATTTTCTTAAGGTTGAATAAAGTTTTGGTAAGTAAATTTAAGATTTTTTTATACATAACTACTTTATTTGCTTTTTAAATAAGGTCAAGGTGTTCTATTATTGTGGTATTGTTATTTTAGATAGTAAACAATGAGTAGAGGACTGACGCTTGCAGAATTAGGGCGAATTCGATATGAAGAGGCACAAAGAGAAGGTATGTCAGCTAACATACCATGGAGTGGGCAAGAGGAATGTCAAAATCAAGAAATTATGGAAGATGGCGGACGAGTGGATGTTGAAAGTGACGCTTCCAGTGAACATAGTATGCATAATACCGATTCCGAACAATCTGATGTAGAAGTTGAAAATTTTGTTTATGAAGTTGACGATAATCCCGCATATACATCAAAACATCATTTCACTGGTAAAGACAAAAAAACTCACTGGATGGTTTATCCTCCACGACCTAACGTAAGAGTGCCTACAAAAAATATTGTTAGTCATCTTCCCGGAGTAAAAAATATTGCAAAAGATGCAAATACTGTCGAAGCATGCTGGGAATTATATATTACAAAAGAAATGGTTGAAGAAATCGTACAATGCACAAATATCTATCTAGCAAAAATACGAGGTAACTATACGAGATTGCCGTGACACAGACGCTACAGAAATATATGCTTTTATCGGCCTCCTATACATGGCTGGGGTACGAAAGGCTCAATATCTAAATACTAAAGAACTTTGGGCTGATTCAATATTTGCTCCTGCTTGCTTTAGACTAACGATGTCACGAGAACGATTTCATATTTTAGGAAGAGCACTAAGATTTGACAATATCAATGACCGAAACGAAAGAAAAAAATACGATAATTTGGCTCCCATTCGAAACATATTTGAACAGTTTGTGTCCAAGTGTCAAGAAAACTACCAAGTTGGAGAGTATTGTACAGTGGATGAAATGTTGGAAAGCTTTAGAGGGCGATGTAAATTTCGGCAATATATAGCCAACAAGCCGGCCAAATACGGCATTAAAATATATGCCTTAGTTGACTCAAGGATGTTTTATACCTGCAATATGGAGATATATGCAGGAAAACAGCCAGTTGGCCCTTTTTATCTAGACAACTCTGCATCTGCTGTTGTTATGCGTATAGCAAATCCCATATTAACCACAGGTAGAAATATAACTATGGACAATTATTTCACGTCAGTGCCGTTAGCCAAACAATTACTTGATAGGAAAACTACACTTGTTGGTACCCTAAGGAAAAACAAGAGGGAAATTCCGCCAATATTTATAAATGTGAAAAGACCTGTACCTAGTAGCATGTTTGGTTTCCGAAAGAATACTGTATTATTATCGTATAAACCCAAACCTCAGAAAAACGTATTGATGTTATCTACATTTCATTCTGGGGACTACATCGATCCTGAATCTGGCGAACTGGAAAAACCTGAGATCATTACATTTTATAACCTAACAAAAGGAGGTGTCGATGTGGTTGATGAATTAAAATCAACTTATTCTGTTTCCAGATATTGTTGCCGATGGCCACTTAGAATTTTTTTTACAATTTTGGACGTTGCTGCTATTAATTCCAATATTGTATATAAAAGTAATACCGAAGTTATTGAAGAACGTAGAATTTATCTCAATCATCTGGCCGAAGCTTTGATTAAACCTCTGTTGATTCGTCGTTCATCGATCAGGTCTTTGCCAATTAATATTCGAAGCATGCTAAGGGAATATTTAAATATGCCTCAGATTGAACAGAACAGAGAATCTGTTCCAGATTTCTGTGGATTTTGTCCAAGAAGAAAGAACAGGAAGTCAAAAAAACGATGTGTTAGCTGCAATGTTGCCATTTGCACGGAGCATACCACCTTCACATGTCCAACGTGTTCTGGCGTAAACGATAATAGTGGTACTTCAGATGATTAAATTTTTGATTAATATTATGTTTATTTTATCTGATTTAAGGATAACATTAATTTAAAGATAGATGTAAAATAAAATATACAGGGTATTTTTTTTTAGTTCTTAGCATTGTATAAGTTTTCTTTTTAGTATTTTTAATGTACTTATAACTCTATTTTTGGCATTTATTTTAAATAAACCCTTTTATTATTACCAATAGTTTTGTTTCATTTGCATAAAAAAAAATAAAAACAGTTACACCGAACAAAATCTTGAAGGGTTCGTCGTGTGAGAGAAATTCTCACGCGCGAGTTCTCGCGTAATTTTTTAAGGCGCGAGTGATGCAGGGTTATGAAAAATATAGACATACTTGCAAAATGCCATGTTTTAAATTGGTTTTAATTTTAATTTTTGTAAGTTATAAATTACTCTGCTATATTTTGTATAGTATAGGTCTTTACATTTAAAAAATCTTTAAAGACTGTTTGGCCTTAAAGAACAACAAACACATTAAAAAAAACTTATAACAAATAAACAAGAAATCTACTTCATGGCAATAAAAACGGATCAAATATATTATTAATGGAAGACATCGCATGATAATCTATGGCCTTCAATCGGTATTCTGTTAAAAAATATTCATACGCGTAGAAATGAAAATTTGCGACAATTACGACAAAAAGTAAAAATATTTTGGAAATTTGCTTATGGGAAATCCGAAAGCAGAAGTTTGTGAAAATTGGGTATAAAAAATTCTACTGTATAATTTAAAACATCAACTTATTTATGTATTATGCTACTACGTTTATTTTCAGAGCTGATATGATTCTTGCATTATTACTCGATGTAAAGCATATTTGTAATTAGCACCTTTGAAAATTACTTCAATATTTTCTTACCGATGCACTTTCAATAATAATATTAATTCCTTGTGATATCTCTGGGTACTTAACTTACGACTTTTACTTGACTTATTTGAATAACGTATAGTATCCAAGTCTTCTTTCTTTTAGATGAACACATCGATAATTACATGGAAGCTGACCCCTTAGACTATAACATAATTGGAATCAAAGGTATTTTTCTGTTATATATATATATATATATATATATATATATATATATATATATATATATATATATATATTACAGCTACAGTCCTTTTATTACTTCTATGCATGATTTTAGCAAAATTCCGGTTGACTGATGATGAAGAATCTCTAAGACAAAAGATATATTGTGCAAAAGAACTATGTAAGTTGAATCTCTAAATTTGAAATGACACGAAATGTTTATAAATATGTAGTACACACACACACACACAAACACACACACACACACATATATATATATATATATATATATATATATATATATATATATATATAATATAGGAGTCAAGATATAAATAAATAGGTAATTTTAGGTTTAATTTGGTTTTAAGACGCAATTACATATCATAATTATTGATAACTAGCATTACTAGTGGTGCCACCCTGGTATGTTATTGATTTCAAAATTACCGCATTACTTGTAAGTCAAATGTCATGCCACTTGTTGATTTCGTGGGAGTGAGAATTTTGTACACGGTTTTTAAAATTAATTAACCAAGAGTTCTTTTTTGGTTTCGCCTTTTGTACTAGCCTTTAAAGTGTTAACTAGGTTGATGATTACATTGGTAACCATGTTAATTGCATTTCTTTAAAAAAATATGCGGTTATGTTACCAAAAGTTAAATATACGTAATTTATCAATGGTGGCTAAATCCCCTTATCAGTGATGAGGTTTGTTCTTCATGTAAAGTTTATTTTTATTTTTGTACATACTTATGTTCTTCATACTGTATAAAATTACGTATTTTTGCTTTTTCTTTAAAAAAATATTGAACTTATTATATTTATAAGTTCATGGCTCTAAGTTGAGGTTTTTAAACCTTACTTTCATCAATTGACATTCTTGATAATTGATACTCTTGTAAGTTTTTTCTTTGATATTTTCTCTATTTGTATTATATATATATATATATCTATATATATATATATATATATATATATATATATATATATATATATATATATATATATTACATAGTCACTCAAAACAGTCCACCCCGATATATGGCAAAATTGATTAGATTTTGAGAGAATGTTAAAACAGGTGATTTTTATTCCAAAGAGGATACATTTGACATCCGTTAATTATCAATTTCTTCTATTCAGAGAAACATATATTTTTTTCTATATTGATTTTAATTTTCATGTTTCCGAGTCCTAGTAGCTTCCTCCGAGAAAACGGAGGAAACGAATACTGCTAGGGCGCTGGGCTGGTGCCTGTCTATCGTAAAAGATGACTAATGGGATGGAATGAGAGGTGTTGAGCCGTCGTTTTCTATACATAGTTTACTCATTAATAATAATAAACTGATTAGATAGCTCAAAGTGTGATAGTCCATCGATTTTCATACAACGTAAAGTCTCTTTGTTTTTAAAAAAATATAGATTTAATATTAATTTTTGTATTTTAAAAAGCCCTGTTGAATTAAAAACACTGTTAAACGCTATCAACGATCCAAAAATCTACTGTAGTTTTTAATGTGATGAAAACATTTGAAACCTTAGCAAAATATCATCATCATCATCATGGCTTATTCACCCCTGGCGGAGTGTTTGCTGCCCTTTTGGGCTCTCTGATTCATTTTCCTCCATTCTTTCCGGTCCTTACAGCGCTCCTTCCAATTGTAGATCCTCAGCTTCTTTATGTCTCCTAAGACTTGATCTCTCCATCTTGTTTTGGGTCTCCTTTGGTCTCTTTGTTGTTGGTCTCCATCCAGTTATTCGCTTTAGCGTAAAGTCTGGGTTAGCTCTTTATGTGTGTCCCAGCCACCTGAGCCTTTGCGTCTTCACGAACTTGATTATGTCTTCACCCTCGATGACTTCTTTAATTTCTTCATTGGTTAATCTTCTAAATTCGCCTACACTTATCCTCACCGGTCCCATTGTTAGTCGAATTATCTTTCTCTCTAAGATTTCCAACCTCATTTTTAATTTGGTTTTCTTACTAATGTGCTTTTCTTTCAGGTATTTTTGGTAGTTCCAGTAGGTTTTATTACTCAGTAGGATGCATTCATTTATTTCATCCGTTCTATCATTTCTGTCATTCAGCATCACTCCCAGGTATTTGAAACGGTGTACTCTTTCAAATGTATATGCACCAAGCTTAATTTCTTTCTCTATGTTCGTATTCTCTCTTGAACACTTGAGGTATTTCGTTTTGCTTTGGTTTATTACTAGCCCTCTCTTCTTTGCTTCTTTATCTAGTATTAATATTATGTTCTGCGTAGTTTTTAAATCTCTAGTAACCAGTGTAATATAGTCTGTATACGCTATCAGTTGGGGTGAAGATTCGATAATCGTTCCCATAATTTTGGCTGCTCTTACTGCCCCTTCTATGGCAATGTTAAATAATGTCGTTGACATTGAGTCTCCCTGTCTGACACCTACCTCCATTTGTACTTCATCTGACGGCCCTTTCCTTGTTAAGATTCATGCCTTAGATTCCTTCATCGTCATTTTCGTGAGACTTATTAGTTTTTCTTGTAGTCAATAAACAGTATATGTAGATATATTCCGTGCTCGTAACTTTTTTCGACGATCTGCGTTACAATGTGTATTGCATCTATTGTTGACTTAGCTTCTCTGAATCCATGTTGGTATTCACTTATTTTTGTTCTAGTTTCTTTTTCTATTCTTTGTCTGATCAAATTAGTTAATATTTTGTACATTGTATTTAATAACGTGATTCCCCTGTAGGTAGTGCATTTCGTCTTGTCGCCTTTTTTAGAGATTGGTAGTCGTTCGCATGCGTTCTTCTTCCCATGTTCGTTCTATTAGGTTGTGGATCCTGTGAGCTAGTTCCTCTCCCCCTTTCTTGAAGAACTCATTTATAATGTCGTCTGGTCCTGCTGCTTTCCTTGTCTTTAATCTGTTTATGCTCGCCAATACTTCGCTGTATGAGGGAGGCTCTGATTGTTCTCCATTCCTATTTTCTGTTTGTTCTTCATTTTCTGCGTTTTCAGCATCGTCTTTCTGTTTAAACAGTTCTCTATAGTGTGTTTCCCATTCCATTTTTCCAATATTTGCTGGTATCTCTTTTTTTCTCTGTGATTTTATGTATTTGTATAGTCTTGCATTGTCATTACTATTGGCTTCGAGTTCCTGTAGTAATTCTTTGATCCATTTCTTCTTTTTTGTTTTGCAGCATTTGTCTGATTCTTTCTTCTTCTCGAGCAAAATATAGGTGTTGCATTTAATTTTTAAGAGGTGTAACCCTTTATATAAGATAATAGTTTTTCATAAAATAATCAATATGGTAAGAGAGATCGTGGATTCCTGAATACTCCATCGAAGTGACACTCGATGATGTGCGCACATGGTATATTCTCTATTTACAATTAAGGACTTATGAAATTGGAAGGGAGGGAGTTGCCAAATGCCAGATATCTGTATCGTTAAAATGGATCTATTTAGAATAAAATTGACCTGTTACAGCATTTTCACAAAATCTGAAGATTATTGCCACATATCAGAGTGGAATATTTCCAGTAACCCACTCTATATAATAACCAAATGATAACTTCGACAACAGATGATTGTTTATTAGGTTATAGTAGTACAAAAACAATAATATGATAAAACTTTTAGATAACCCTGTCCAAGCCACCAAAATCCACTGCACTTCCTGCAACTGTCATCTTGGAAGTGCTTTAAGTAATATCAAAAATGTTTACATCCATCCGCTTTTAAAAGTCATAATTTGCAAAGAATGTTTTGACTTTTACACAGCAGGTGACTTTGAATTGGATGAAGATGGCCAAGAAAAATTCTGCAGATGGTGCGGTCAAGGTGGAAAACTTTTTTGCTGTAACGAATGCCCTAGAGTTTTTTGTACGGTAAGTAGGCCGCTTTCATTGTAATATAAAAAATCAAAACTACATGATTAAGTTCTAAACCAATAACTAAGTTAAAAGATGACAAAAAACGAAAAATTTATCATGGATATTGGTTCTCTGTAAAAAAGCAATTTTTTTGTTTGTTTTAGACTTGCGTCAAATTTAATTTTTCGTCTAGCCAGTACAGCCAAATACAAAACACCCACTACTGGAAATGTTTTATATGCGATCCATCATCGATAATGCATCTTAAAGTGAAATGCTTTGAGTTCGTAAAATATATACGTGAAGAATTAATGTAAGTATATACACGCAACCAAACTTATATGGAAACTTTTCTAATCAAAATCACTAAAAAGTTTCGACCCAATTTCATCATCAGGAATCATCTCTCTAAGAAAATATAAAATCATACATAAATTAATATTCCTTGTTTAAAGCTATGCCTTTGTGCCAATTTTGTGCTATCGGTAATAATGTATAAATATACAATTTATTAACAAAAAACGAAAAAAATTTTCACAAGACACTGCATTTTTTAAGTATAATACTTTTCATATTCTCTTTAGGAATTGTAACAAGAAAACCCGACCCCCTTTCCAAAAATGTTTTAATGATAATTTTTTGTGATTTATTTAAAAAAAGAAAATTAAATATTGGAAAATTTAATGTGAAACATGATATCCATATTTCACCATATCTCTCATATCACTGCACTGCGCGTTTCTTAGAGTATTATGCTTTAAACGTTAAAAAAAAGTGTGTTCACAGTAACATCTTTCATTCAGATAAAAAACTAATCTTCTTCTTACGGTGCCTTATCCTTAAGGACGTTGGCCATTACATTTGCCCATTTAATCTTATTTGTAGCAGCCCTGAATAGTTCTATGGAGTCATACTTTTGATTTCTTATGATGTGACCAAAATATTGTGTTTCCGTTCTTTTATTATAAGCATAAGCTCTCTTTCCTTATTCATCCTCCGCAAGACTTCCGCATTTGTCGTATGGCTCATGTAGGATATTCTGAGCATTTTACGGTAACACCAGAGTTCAAATGCTTGGATTCTTTTTTGTGTTGCTTCTGTCATTGTCTAGGCTTCAACACTATAGAGCAAGGTGGAGAAAACATAGCACTTAAGTATTCTAGTTCTCAATGAGATGCCCAGCTGGCGGTTGCATAGAACTTTTTGCATTTTGTAAAACATTGTACGTGCCTTTTCCAGGCGCATTCTTATCTCTAGTGAGTGGTCCCAAGTTTCATCAAGATTACTTCCAAGGTACGTTGTTCTTGTTACTATTTCCAGATCTGTCCCGTCGACATTGACCTTCACCCTTCTGTTTTGGTGCTTGCTGATGACCATCGTTTTTGTCTTCTTTGTATTCAATTTCATTCCAAATTCTCTACAGGCTGTCGTTACTCGGTCCATTAAGCGTTGCAGGGCTTCAGTATTATCTGCCAGTATGACAGTGTCATCAGCATATCGCAGGTTATTTATACATTGCCCGTTTATAATTATACCATCCGTGGTGCCTTCCAAAGCTTTCTGAAATATCTTCTCAGAGTAAACATTAAACAGCAAAGGTCACATCCCTGTCTTACTCCCTTTTCGATATTGATTTTTCCAGATGATTCGCTTTTTATTCTGATTTTAGCCTTTTGTTCTTGGTAGAGGTTTGAAATGATCCTTAAGTCTTTAACGTCGATATTACATGACCTTAAAATATTTATTAGTTTATCATGTTTCACCAGGTCAAACGTCTTCTGAAAGTCTATAAAACACAAGTATACATCAGAATCGACATCTCTACATCTTTCAACTAGCACACGTATTGAAGAAAGTGCTTCTGAGTTTGACCAGTGTGTTCGTCTAGTTTATGGTATACTCTATTCTGTATTACTCGTAGGAAAAGCTTTAACATATGATTCATCAGGCTAATAATCCTATGGTCTTCACATTTCTTGGAGTTTCTCTTCTTTGGTAGTGGTATAAACACCGATGTCAGCCAATCATTTGGTATTTTGCCTGTTTCGTATATTTTGTTAAATATATCTTCCATTACTTCGATGTGTTCGTCTAGTCGTTTTTTAAAGATGCAACATTGACGACGTCATCAGCAGCAATATAATAGCAAATCGATAATCAAAAAACTAAAAATCCAAGAATCTTTAATATTGCAGAAGGTGTTTTAATACCGTAGAGAAATATACGCAATATGGGTACATAAATAATTGGGATAAGAGAATCGGTTTTTTTCTGACTAAAAACTTTATAGCTCACGAACGTTTACCTATTAAGCGGCCGATAAAATAGCAAAAATTAATGATGGGATTGTATCACCAAATTATCTCAGTATATGTCATAGGTGTAAGTTTAATGAAGAGGTAAGCAACTAACTTAAAGCTAGCTAGGAATATTAGCAGAACTTGTTTTGTTAAGATGCAGCAAATCACACATTATTACACCTATGCATATATATAAAACAGTACTAAAGCGTCAAATAATGTTAGACACAGCAAACATATTTCGAGACAAAACTATTTGCAATATAAAAGAAATTCTTCTTCCTTGATATATGTAGGCTTTAAAGTCTGTTTTTTCTACAATATTAGCTTCCTAAATTGTTTAAATTATCCCATTATCTTTTTCCAATTATTGAATAATAATTTTTTTTTAATAATATCAGATTGTAAAAGTGTTTTACATAAACTTTCAAACATATCTACTAATATTAATATTAATTAATATCTTACAAATATAAGTAATTAATTTTAAATACTTGTATGAGGAAGGAAAAATAGTTAAGTTTGTTTGGGTTAAAGCTCATTGTGGGATCATCCACAATGAAAAAGTAGACATACTGGCCAAGGAAGCATTAGATTCCGATACTGTTGTAAATTATTCATTAGTTCCTGAAGACCTTTATATTATTTCAAAAAATATAATTAGGCAGGAATGGATGAATAAATATGATCATTCCACCAAGGGACTTTTTTTATAAAGGCATTCAGCCGAAAATTCCTACCAAACCATGGTTCTGTAATTTATAACAAAAAAAGATGCAATCAGAATTATCTGTAGAATTCGATTCAATCATTCCCTAGCACCATCTCACTTATTTAAATTAAAAATTGTAAATTCCCCAAACTGCGAATGTGGAGAATATGGCACACTAGAACATATGATATTAAATTGTAGTAAAAATAGAATAAAGACCAATGTTTTTATGGAAACCATAATGAAAATAAAAATTTTAGTAAAACCCATCAACCTTTATGGGTTAATAGTTTCTAACAATTTTAGAAGATTATAAGTTGCTGTATCAATACATAAGCAGTTTAAAAATAAGAATATGAAACAATAATTTATAAAGACAAATGTATACCAAAACTTGTATATAAATTAAAAAAAAAAAAGCATTTCAACAATAAAAAAAAAATATGTATATATATATATATATATATATATATATATATATATAATATATATATATATTAGACAATATTAATAAAACGAAATACAGAAAAAATATTGAAAATATTAAAAAAAAATAAATAAATAAATAAATTAAAAAAAAAAAAAATTAAAAATTAAAAAAAAAAAAAAAAAAAAAAATTAAACAAAAAAAATTAAAAAAAAAACACTGCTTGCGGAATGATACGAAACTGGATACCTTCTACTAGAAAATTGTATACAAAATTAAAAAAATAAATAAATAAATAAATAAAAAATATGATGTTTGTAAGTTTACCAATTGTATAATTTAGAATTTTTAACGTAGTGATATTGTTTTTAAAAATATTAATAATGTAAATGTTAAATATTAATAGCTTTTATTTTAATAATTGTTAAGAATCAAAGTCAAACATGATTAGGCGAATGAAACCATAGGTTTCGCAGTCAATATTCCAACCACACACACACATTATCTTTTTCCTGGTCTGCCAATGCTTCTTCGTCCATTTGGTGACTTATCTCGTGTAATTCGTATTATCCTATCCTCTGCCATTCTACTAATGTGTTCATTCCACTCTTGCTTCCATTTTGTCACCCATCCATTTATGTATTCTATATTGCATGCTCTTCTTATCTTAGTAGTCGACTTGTTTTAGATTTGTCAAGTCTTGTCTTCGCTGTGTATGTTAATATAGGTCTAATTGCTGCTTTATCGATTCTTGCTTTTGTGTCTTAGGTGTTTATTCTTCCAGATTGTGTCATTAAGAGATCCCGCCGCTGTATTTGCTTTTAAGCATTGTTGTCTTACTTCTTCTTTAACATCTCCGTAACTAGTTATATATATTCCCAACTATCTTAACCTTGCTTCCTGCTTTATTATTTTCCCATCAATTTCTCAATTTCTAGTTTACCTCTTAGTGGGTATTTAGATGTTGTCTTACATTTGGTTTTTTCTGCTGATATTATCATATAGTATTTCTTGGCTGTTGTATTGAAGATGTGTGTTAATCTTTGGAGCTCGTCGTGTGTCTCAGCGATTAATGCGGCGTCGTCCGCATAACATAATATGTGGATTTCTTTGTTCCCAATTCTATAACCATGACCTTTACGTACTGCTTGTCTTATTTCGTCCATTATTATATTAAAGAGAAGTGGGCTTAAGGAGTCACCCTGTCTGACTCCGCTTTGTACTGATATATACTGTGTTAGTTTTCCGTTTATATTTGCCTGTATTCGATGATGGAAGTAGATGTTTTCGTATAATATTCATTGGTATGTTTCTTTTATACAGTAGGTGTAAGACGTATTCGACTTGGATGTAATCAACAGTCTTTGTCAAGTCTATAAAACATAGATATGCTGGTTTATTGTACTCGATGGCCTTTTCTATGATTTGGCTTAGTACCAATACGGCGTCTACGCAGGATCTTCCGTCTGATGTCTGTGGTCTGAGCAAGTTGTTGAACTTGGTTTTTTGGGAATTGCTACAAAGGTTGATTTCAGCCATTGTCTGGGGATTGTGGCAGTCTGATATATTAGATTAAAGAGTTCAACCATTACATCAATAACATCTTCATCGATGAGTTTTAATAATTCGATGGGCACTTCATCTGGTCCAGTAGCTTTACCCTCTTTTGTGTTTTTGATGGCATAGATGACTTCTTCTCTTAATATTGGTGGTCCAGTATCCTCGGTGATTTCTAATGACAGTTCTTCTCTTTCATCATTAAATAGTTGTTGAATGTAATTGGTCCAGTGACATAATCTCTTCTTCATATCAGTAATAGTATCCTCTTTATCATTTTTAAGGATATTCGTTTTTGTACGCTTTCTAGAACCTGT